CTCCCGGTCCTGGGGGCTGCGGGCCGGGTCCTGGAACTCGTAGAATTCCTGCCAGTCGCCGTCCGCCGCCATCGTCGCCGTGCGGACGCGCCCGCCCCGTCCCGTCCCGGGCCCCGCCCTCGGAACCCGCCCCGCCCGCTGGCCCCGCCCCACCCAGGAGCCAGGCTGGGGTCTGTCCTGGGCCGCCCAGCCTGGGGGCTTCCCTCGGCAGAATCTTCGCGGGATCGACGTGGCTCCCCACAGAAGGGATAACCTGAACTGCATTAGGTCCCTTCGTGTGCTCTCTGTGACTCAGAAACAGCCTCCCTCTTGGCTTCTCTAGTGGGCACCGGGCCTAAATGAGGCCAAAGTAAAGAGCTTCTTTAATCTCGCGACCTAGCCTCAGATTGTGCACAAGTCACTTCCCCAGGCTAGCCTGCTCCTTTTGTATCTTTCCAACCAGAACAACAGGCCGAGTCCGTTGGAAATGCTTAAGTGATACCGAAATGCATTCCACAAATACCTAAGGTCTCCCACGTGCGAAGCTCGTGCTAGACCCTCTGGAACATGCAAAACTGAATAGCTATGTAAGTTAATATTTGCAAAGCACTTAGAACAGTGCCTGACAGTAAGTCCCATATCTGTATGTTACATAAGTAATACACAGCTGCTCCTCACAAGAGGTTTACAATGCAGTTGTAGTGATAAGACCAAAGGAAACCATTTATACGAAATAGAAGGTATGAATGGGAGTAGAGAGTTACTAAGGGGCATATAGGTTCAGTTTTGCAAGATGGAAAGAATTCTGGTGATGGATGGTTGCACAAAAATATGAATGTACTTAATACCCTGAGTTGTATACTTGAAATGGTTGCGATGGTAATTTTATATGTGTATATTGCCATAATAAAAGAAAATGGGGAGAAAAATAAGTGTGATTATGAGTGTGTGAGTATGTAGAGGCAATATATACCTAGGACAGTTACCAGACAGGGTCTGCTGCCTGGAGCACATAGTAGCCAACACTATGGCACTAGAGAAAAGAATGGAGATTAATCTGTCAGTTGATAGCAAGAAGACCGGAGGCAAGGCTCAAATCTGTCTGTCTGATCCAAGATTTGGGGTGGGGTTTTAACAGGTAGCACTTGAAGGGTTCACAAGAGTTTGTATCCAAGGTTTAAACTTTGGTTCTGGGTCTTGTTAGAATGGTTTGAGCTGGTCTACAGCTAAAGAGGTTGATCGGGGTTGATCTTTGGCCTGTAGTAATCACATACTTCATTTAGGAAGTGGGCCGTAGTTGGATCATGAAAGATGAATTTATACTTTAAAAAATAAATCTGAAGTTAATAATATAAAATAAGATTTTCTCAGTATGCTTTGTCCATGTCTTGGAAACCTAGCCTCAAGAATACATGTTAATACCAAAATTTCCTATTTACTATGCCAAAGAATGTTGTCTCTTATTTCAATGATTTGTTCCATATTAACCAAAATACATCTATCACTGAGCCTAAGAAACTGTTGATAATTATTTAAAGGCAATATTGTTCCCTCTCTATTTTCATGAGCAGATGTTGTGCTCTACTTGGCCAACAGCTAGAACTAATTACCCCATGGTTAATAGCTTTGGGGTTGATGAGAAAATAGTCAAGCTTAGCTAATATTCACCTATCTGAACATTACTCAAAAGTGATGCTCTAAAACAGCGGTCACCAACCGGTGGTCCGCGAACCACTGGTGGTCCATGAGGTCTGAAAGGTTGGTGACCACTGCTCTAAAAGTATCAAAGATCTATTTTTCTCTATGTATTTACACACACAAAGTTAGGAAACACTATCAAAGTGACTCGGACTCTCCTGATTAGGTACACAGCTAAAGCAAAATTGTGGGTTTTTTCCTTAATGGTATCTCCATTTGTCTGTGCGGCATGTGTTAGTGGAAATGAAAATTACTTACTCTTAGGACTCACATGTAACACTGTCAAATTTTTCATCTGCTTACACATAAATTGCTACTGGTTTAGCTTTAGTGGTCTCAGGATTTTATTTTAGTGAGAATTTCCACATAGAATGCTTTTTACTTTTAATTAAATTCAAATTACCTGATATCACCCCAGACACTTTGAATACTCCATTGCAGCCCTGGCCAGGTGGCTCAGTTGGTTGGAGCATTGTTCAGCATCCCAAAAGGCTTCAGGTTCAATTCCCTGTCAGGGCACATACCTGAGTTGCGGGTTCAATCCCTGGTGGGGGCATGTATGGGAGGCAACCGATTGATGTTTCTCTCTCTCTCTTTCTCTCTCTCAAGTCAATACAAACATATCCTTGGGTGAGGATTTTTTTTTAAATTATGAATACTCCATTGCAAAACACAAGATTTAAATCACTTTTCTTAGTCAATTTATTTTTGCACACCTATAATAACCTTGGCACTCAACACAATCTATAAAAGTCCTCCAAAGGAAGATGCCAATGAGAAAACTGATTATACTACTTTGTGGGGATAGTGATGAGATTAGCAAGAAACTATGGTGTGAAACAAATGGTTAGTTGATGCTTTTGTAGATTTTAAATAATTACTGTAAACATGAAAGCATAACAGGAGAAAACAGTTTAAATTGTAAGATTCTTGTCACCAGGTAAATTATAACGAAGCAACATTTTCCTTCAATGCCTTCCACACACCTCTCCTCCCACGTGGTACCTGGAAACTGCAAGTTGCTCCACGGCTTCCAGGACAACCATTTCCGTATGCTGGCTGTGGCCCCATTTCCGTATGCACACCCTTTCCTTTCGCTCCTGGTACTTGAGTCGGACTGCTCTTTAAAGAGAATCCAGCTCCCACTTACTATTCCCTAAACCCCTTCACTTAGTATTTCCTGTCAGCAACCTTAGCCGACTTTCCAGCTATCTCCTTCCCATGAGCCGAAGTCTAGCTTCCTAACATCGCCACCGATCTGGCGAAGTCACAGGCTTCCTGCCGCTCTGGCCTCACCTGCTTGGCTCAGTCCATCAACACGCACTTCAGTATACGGCACACAGCCGGATTCTACTAATTTGTCCTCCCAAATCTATTTATTTCAGACCTTTACTTCCCACCAACTCCTGGAGAAGAGATGAAAGAAGGTGTAAGCATGTTTGCTCACTCATATATTTAGAAAAGTTAACCTATAGAATTAATTTTCAGCACTTGGTTCAAAATTAGAAAAAGAATATAAATTACTTTTAAAGAGTGCTTCCTAGCCCTTGAGCCTATGTGCATATTAATCATTTAGATGGGAAAAGTTCTCTTGTTTAACAATGTATGTAAATTTTCCACATATATAGTATATCACAGTGACAGTTAAGTAACCAAAAATGGAAAAGTACATTATTCAGCATATAGACCACCTAAGGGTATAATTAATCAGAAAATATTAAAATTGCAAAAAAATAAACTACTGAATACAGGACCAGAAAAATATCTGACTGTCAAAGTACCACATATAGTGAATGTGGAAAGAGTTATAAAGCAATAGTAAGACAATGAGAAGGCACACAAGTGAAAATTTCTTGAGAAAAGCTAAGCTAATAACTAATTTTATTCAATAATTAGGGCTATAAAAAGAGTTAATGAAACAAAAACAAAAAGAATCTAGAAATCCATATGGTGAGTCAAGAATTTAAGGAACAGTGGCTTGCTTGCCAAAAAAGGAAAGGGCACTATCTTTCCATTTTAACTCATTTCAAAAAAAAAAAAAAAAAAGAATCAAGAAACTAGCATAGTCAAAGACCACAACTTAGCTTTTATTTGTAAAGAATCGTTAATCCTATTATGCAAGTGTGATGGGGATGGATCTTCATTTTAATGATCAGATCAGGGTCATGATTAGGTGAAACCATCCTGAGCAGAAGCGGTGCCAGGCCACCCAGGGGTGTAGCCAGGTGACCGACTAGCCATGGCCTCACCCTTCCAAAGTATCAGAACAGCTGGGAGGGGAAGACACTGCCAAACATGGGCCTGGCTGTGTTCTAGGTGTCAAATGCTGGTCTCGGAAAAATGAACGGAAACAACTTTCAGCAGGAGTCACTTACCTAACGTTATGATAGTTCTAACAATGGAACCTGCAAGGACCCTGTCATGGAAAGCAGCAATGAACACTCTGAACAGCCTGAATTTCCTGCTTTGGCATAGTCTTAATTTTCTCATCTGAAATTTAGAGCGTGCAGAATTGAATACACCAAATTTGATCTATCATTTTCTTTTTGGGGACTTTCAGCGTTCTATGTGCCAAGGCATCTTGGGATGGTGAAAACTTCTATGTTCTCTTTTTTTCTATGATTGTCAGCACTGCGTGTCCTTACTATTCATATTACGATGGAACAAAGAACAAATGTGGAAAGTTTTTTCAACAAACAAGTGAAGAGGCTGCTCTGAGTCTGAAAAAATTGTAGAATAATTTTCTTGCTTCCTTTAGGACTATAAGTAGATATTTTATGTACCCTTCATTCTGAATTCTTTGTCTCATTACTGACCTAGAGCCTTCAGGTCTAATAAGGCCTGAAAACTAATCTATAGTTTACAGAAAGCAGATCAGTGGCACCCATGTAAAGGTTTGGGGTAGGAGAGTTAACTGCAGAAGGAGACGAGGGAAACTTCTGGAGGCCTGTAATGGAAATACTCGATGACTTGATTATGACAGTGACTATGTAGGTGTATACATTTATCAAATGATAAGCTTTTAAAAAGTACATTTTATTGCATATAAATTATAACTCAATAATTGTTTTTTAAAAAGTGTGGCTTTATAACCAAAAAATGGAAACAACCCATATGTCCATCAACAGAAACAGATACGCAAAATGTGCCATATGCATACAATGGAATATTATTCAATCTTAAAAAGGAGTGAAATTCTGACAGATGTCACAATATAGATGAACCTTGAAGACATTCTGCTAAGTGAAACCAGACACAAAATGACAAGTACTGTATAATTCCAGTTATTTGAGGTACCTAGAGTAGTCAAAATCGTGGAGATGGAAAGTAGAATGGTGGTTGCCAAGGGCTGGGGGGAAGGACCTGGGGAGTGTTTCATGGGTACTGAGTTTCTG